TTGTTTATAGACACTATAAGAAAATTGTAACACATCTTGTTTGTAGATATTATAAGAAACTTTAACACATCTTGTTTGTAGACACTATAAGAAAACTTTAACACATCTTGTTTGTAGACACTATAAGAAAACTTTAACACATCTAGTTTGTAGATATTATAAGAAAACGCGAACACATCTAGTTTGTAGATATTATAAGAAAACGCGAACACATCTTGTTCAATACAAGAAACAGCTGTTACTAGCGTATTACGCTAGTCACAGCTATTTCTTGTATAACATTTGCATTCGAAGTCGCCGAGAACACAAAATGGAACACGTAAATACAGGCTTCTTTTTGTTAGATATATCTTCAATCCAAAGATCACAGAAAAATCTTTATTTTGATAGAGTTTTTACAGTATTACAATTAAAGGCTCTAAGTTCAAAGGAGAATTTGACCATTCTTATATCAAATGCGTAAACAGACAACATAAGCCAGTTATAATCATAACGTCGATTTTCTATTAATCTATAAATGTTCAAATTCTAGTGTTAATAACATCGTTAAAACTTTTGAGAAACTACTTTGTTACTTGTGAAATTTTCTCTTCTTCTTTAGAAAATATAACTTGAATGAAGAAAAGAAAAAATCAATGAATAATGTAGAGGAGTCAATTAATATATTCTTCAGTTACTCCTTCTTTATATCTTGCAGATAGTGTACTTTGTGTTTGATGAAAATTATATTGTATATTAACTTAAGCAGCAATGAGACATACCGGTCTCAAATAAGATCACTTTGGCAAAACAAATAGCTTAAGTAAATTGTATTTTATGGTATTTTAGTAGTGGATTTTCACAAATATATCAGTTTATGCGAGTTATTATTTGGTAATATTTGTCTACTATTTATGTATGTTTCTCGTTCTGTTTGACTGTTAAGCTTTGAAATGTTGTGCTTTATATAATTTGTCGAAAATATAACTGGCAATCAATGTTAAAGTTGTGTGAGCAAATGTATTAACGGTTGAAACATTTTTTAGAGTAACTAATGTCAACTGATATAATAGAGAAAGGCCGGGATCATGTTGCCACTCAGTCACTAAATGGAAAATTCTGAGCGTGGCAAGACCACTGATGATAGAAAAGAACACTGGCAGTGCCACCACATATGTAATACATATATATATATACACACATCAATAGTTATACAGATAATTAATGTGTACACAAGTGGGAATAATAATATTTATATCTACCCTGTCGTCACTTCCTGATGTTTCCCTGTGGCGGAAAAAGTCTCTAATAGCACTGGATCTTGGGCCAGTCTGGGGCTTTTTACATCGAAGAAATATCGGTAAAGATTCCCGATGAATATTGTATTTACAACAAATTTGACTGATGGAATTCCCAGCAGGAGATCTACTGCCATTTACAGCCATTCTATAGCATAATCTTACTAGCTCATTTTCAGACGAACGGCAGGAGTTCATAAAACGCTTGTGTATTTGAAAATACTACGGGATGATCATCCACAATTCTAGGTAACAAATCACAGTGAGTGTCATATGGCACCATGAGAATGCGACGAATGCATTTCCGCCATGCGCAATAAAAACTTTCAATTGTATTAGGATCAAAATTCCAAAGATTCTATCCATATGAATACATACAGTAAGTTTTAAACAGACTGTATCGCACATCATATGGACAATGTGAACATTTAGATACTAACGAATTACATCTCTGGTACAATTCATTCACGCTTTTCTGAATGGAAT